ATTGTTTTAAAATCTAAGTATCGGCCGATCACCAATCTCCTAGAATTAAAAATAAAATAAGGGCTGATAAATTGATGTGCCCCTACTTTCTGTCTGGGGTCTCTAGAGTTTCAAATAGATCTCTGGTTCTGGTTGTTAATATATGAACTATTGGCTGTTTTTTGTTTTATGCTTTTGTTCTGTGTTTACATAAAAACTTGTGGACAAAGTAAAAATGATCTAAAATCTCCACTGGGTGAATCTGAAAAGGTCCATTGTGTTCTTCAGGGTCAGAGGGGGTTTTCCTTCTATTACTCTTCAACAATTTCTACCCAGAGCTGAGTGGCAGTGTGTGGTGCTTTAGACTTTCTTGGTTCTGGTATGAGCTTTGCTAAGAGTCTTCAAAGTATTTAAAGTTCCATGTTTTGTCTTTTCTTTTTGTTTTTCATTTTTTAGTTGAGGTTGATGGTTCTCACTGTGGTTCCCCAGGTCACCAAAGCCTTAGAAATCCCTTTGCAATCCTTTCCAGACTGGAATCTCTTAAGATCTGGTGGATGTTGGGTTGATTTTTTTTGGGGACCTTTTGGCCTACTTCATGTTGGCAGACAGTTTCTGTGTTGGTAGACAGTTTCTGTTCAATCATTCTTTGGTAATACAGAACAGGACAATACAGCTGATTTACTATTTTACCAGTGCAGTTACATTTTCACACAGGGTTGGATTGGATAGGATCCCCATCTTTCTGTATTTGCTATGATTTCATCAGTCCATTGATAAAATCCTCAGATAAATAAATTCATATTATAAATAAAATAATATTTTAATCTGTTTGATGATTTGAAACATGCACAGCACCGTGTGATCAATAAAACATCCAAGTTCCTGCTTTTTTTCTACAGATCTCACGCGGTGAATGAAAATGAATGTGGGGCTGATTGCGTAAGCTTTAAATAGGTATTACATTACTGTTGCTTTTCACCACAGGAGCTGCAGAGGCTGCTTTAAGACAATCCGGGCATCTCTGCCTGTCTGTGGATGACATCATTGATATTGTAAACTGAGAGAGGACTGGGTGTGAGGAGCAGCCACGCAGGGGAGAAACAAGGACCTTTAGGGTTTGTTTGTTTTTTTCCCCCCTCTGATCTCCTCGAAAATGAAATAAAAATATATTTCAGAGAGAAAAGAAAGAGAGGAAGGGATCTTTCGAGTGTTTTTTCACCTTTCCGTGGAGGGGTTCAGGTCACGCATCTCCGAGGGTTATGATCCGTCCCGAGCCTCGTCGGCACGTCGCTGTCCATGGTCCTGAGTGAGACGGAGCGACCACGGAGCCGGTGAGGAGGCGAAGGAGGTGTGGTTCTGGGGGGGCTGTTCGTTGCCTTGTCAAGGTGTCTGCAGGCGTGCATGAGTGTGATGGTGTTAGCGGGGTTCGGGTCGGGAAAACAGAACCGAAACAGTCGTGCAGGGCTGCAGGGCGCGGTTAGGACTGGCATCTGATGGTGCAGTTGCATTCAGCGCCGTAGCTATCTGGGGCAACTGCATTTTTGTTGTTGTTTTTTTTTTTTTTTTTTGGGTCACATAATTCTAAAGCAGCTGGATATAATATCTGTAAAAACATTCTGCGTTGACATTGGTGGCGTTTTATAAAAACGTTATTTATTTATTTATTTATTTATTGTTACATTTTAAATGTGAATTGTGGGTATGCAGGTGTAGATCACGTAATTTCTCACTTTAAAACCACATTTCATGGCCTGTTTTGGCTGAGGGAGCTTGGTTAAGGAGAACATGACTCATTGGAATTTTGTCAACGAGCTCCAGTCAGTAATCCGGAGTTCATGCACATTATTACTTGAACACAGGAGCTCCTTTTAAGAGAATAAGAGCTGACCCAGCTTCTCTTTCTGCACCTTGGAGAATTTGATGTTATAGAAGTTACTTCATCCTGCTTTGCTAAAATTGTTCCCAGAGTTTATTAGGCCTATTGCATCTCCCAGTTCAGCTGTTAGTTCTAGTCTTTGGTTAGTTAAGCCATGTGGACTCACTGCTGCTCCTGCTGCTTCCACTGGTCCCATTCACTCTGAGTTACATCACTCTTTCCTTTCATCATCCTCACTTTTTATCATTTCTTCTATCATTTTCGCTTCATCATCTCTATTTTACTTGTTGGACTCGTGACACAGCAGAGCTTATATTCTGCAGCTTTGCACCACTTTTTCTTCTTTACTTTATTGATCACCAGTGATGGATTGATAGTGCATGCTTATGTTGTTTCCACAGTGAGGTGAAGAGCTCAGGAGCGATGGAGTTACGCGTGGGGAACAAATACCGCCTCGGGAGGAAGATAGGGAGCGGATCATTTGGAGACATCTATCTTGGTGAGAATTCATGCTTTCTTTCAGCACATTTAGATATTTTCCTTGGTTTTTATCATTATTATTTTTTAACATACTGTGTTCTGCAAAAGTATTCCTGAAACTTTTTACATTTTGGGATCTATATTCAACTTTAATGGAATTTATGCAACAAAAGAAAATCTTAAATGTGTTTTGTGTGTTTTTATTTATCTCCCTGACTCTATACAATCGTTCTTTGCTGCATTCTGAAGACAGAAAACTTTATATTTCATATTCTTCTTTTATTTAATTTTTTATCCAGATTGTTCTGGATTTAGCTATACATCTTCCCAACTGTTTTCCATCTTCTCTGTCTCTGTTGAAGAAAAGCATCCCAACAGCATAATGGTTCCACAACCATGTATTACATAGAAAACTGTATGTTGTGGCTCCTGTACAGTAGTCGGTTTCCTCCACACCCAGCCTTTTTTATAAGTAGAATTAATAATCCCCTTTTTCCATGTTGGCTATGTCACCTAGATAATTTGTGACCAGCTAATACATGAATCTGCTTTGATCTAAACCATCCTGTAGTATGTCTGGTTGGATGTTTGGGGATGTTAACCCTTCAGCCAAGTCTCATTTCTTCTGCAGCCTCTAAAATTTTTCCTGCCCATTTGAAGAAAAATACACAATGGTTTACCAGAAATAGAAATCTGGTCATGGATGTGAATACTTTTGAAAGACACTGTATAATCATGATATTTCTCTAAATCCTCATCTCTTTGCTCAGTGTTACTGCACCTTTGTATCCTCTGCTTTGCCCATCAGGTTCCAACATTGCTACAGGAGAGGAGGTAGCCATTAAACTGGAATGTGTGAAGACCAAACACCCGCAGCTCCATATTGAGAGCAAGTTCTACAAAATGATGCAGGGAGGAGGTGAGACATTTAAAGATAAGATGAGAAGGATTATGATTCCTGTTTCTTAACCCTCTCATTTCCCCTCAGTGGGAATTCCCGCCATCAAGTGGTGTGGAGCGGAGGGAGACTACAATGTCATGGTGATGGAGCTGCTGGGTCCCAGTTTGGAGGACTTGTTTAACTTCTGTTCCCGCAAGTTCAGCCTGAAAACCGTCCTGCTGCTGGCCGATCAGATGGTGAGACGCACTGACTGGGTGTCAAATTAATAATTAATGGAATGATCTTTGTTTTCCTTTCTCAATTTTAAGGTTTTCATTTTTTTAAGGTGTAGCTCCTAGGTTTCTTTGAGCCACAATCAGAATGGATCAGGATTTAAAGTATTTGTAAATACCTATCCCCCCCCCCCCTGAAAAAAAAAAGACTGGAAAGCTGTTTCAAGAAAAGGTAAAAATAGGAGAACGGAATCATGCCCAACCAAAAAGTTCATGAATTTTAAATTTCTTTACAATGTTGTCTTATTGGAGTGGCAGACTTTAGTCTTTTTTACTGGAATTTCAGGCAGACAGAAAGTCTAAGCATATCAGAGATGTTGAAAGAAGATGTGACTTTTTCACATATTCACTCCTTTTTTCTAAGCTGTGCATGTGTCTCAATACACAGACCCCCTTTCTGCTGCAGGTTTGTGCATGGTTGATTGTAAGGTAGATGAATACAAATGTATTCTGCATTTTTTAGATTTTTATTTATAAAAGGCTTTGGAAACCATGCATCACTTTATTAGACATAATCCCAGTAAAATAATTTAAAGTTCACATTTGCAAAGCAGCAAAATGTGCAAAGGGTTTCAAGGAGAATAAATCTACTGTTAATATTTATATATATATCCATTAGGTTATATGGTTTAAAGGTGTCGTAGTAAGGGCGGCCCTCTGTACCCAGTGGTCATCAAGCGACAGGCGGGTAATTGTTTCATTTCAAATCTATAAATGTGTGTGCCTTTCAGCTGTTCTCATAATCAGGAGTCACCACAGAATGTCATTAGGAGTTGATCACAGACTTGGAAACCTTTTTATGCCATTTCGCCTTCTGACACAAGCAGGATTCCAACTTTGGTCCTTTGCAGGTTAAACCACTTCAACATTGTGACTGAAATCTAAACCTGAATCCAATATATGTATTTCTCTTCATTTTTAATCATTCATTTGCCCTAAAATGTTTGAACCTTGAATATGTTTTAGCAACATTTTTCTTCATTATCCAAATTTCAGATTGCTTGTCTGTCTGACTTTCTCTTGGCAGCTTTGACCTATTTTCTTAAGAGCTTTTGGTAGTTTTTTTTTTAAAACTTCTCTCCTGTCCTTGTGATTTATCCCGTCTCCTACTTCCTCCTCTAAAGATGCTGCAGTGTAACTAAATTTTGGACTGCCTCTGTTGATCAGCAGAAAGGCTGACAATAATTGATGAGTTGAACAGACTCAGCTAATATTCGACCACAAACTGAGGACTAAGGACTTTAACAATCATTTCACCTTTAAAGACCAATTCTCTAAAACTAAGATCATGCTGCTGGTGCTGTGTAAGTCAAGACCAACAGAAGCAGATTCTCATCAGAGTAAGACCTCTTGCCAAATGAGGGTATTTACCAATATATAAACATACAGAAACGCAATTTTAGGGATAGAAGTACTAAAATAAACAAGGTCACTTCATACAGGCCACCTTCCCTTTTCAGGACCTTAACTGAACATTAAGGGGGCATAAAGTAAAGTGTTTTTTTGCTGCTGCTGTTTAATGAGATCTTTTGTGCGTACAAAGTTTAGGTGCACTTCCCAAAGAAAAGGGTTGTTAAATAAAGGCTGATCTGGGAGGAAACATTTGTCTTTGCTAGTTTGAGAAGTGCAGTGCTGCTTTTGGGTCATTTCTTAATATTTTCAGCTCATCAAATGAGTCATTTTAATCAAAGTGGAGGAGTTTTGACTTGATTCTATTGTAAAGGATTATTTAAAGTTTGCAGCCCCACTGACAGTTTTTTCCAACACCAACTGTTTCTTATTAGATTTAAGTCCAGATTCTTACCAGGCCACTGCACAACCTTAAATTGGTTTTCTCATGCTTGTCAGATATCGACTTGTTGATGTGCTTTGGATCAATGTCTGATGGCTGGATATTCTTCTGCAGGGTTTTCCGGTAGAGATGTGTTCATTAATTACAGGAAGCCTTCTAGTTCCTGAAAAAGCAAGGCTGCCACGACAATCATGCTGCCACCACCATGTTTTATTGTTGGTAAAGAAAAATGATGTTAGTTTTACTCATAATGTGAGAAGAGCACAGCTTCTCGGATGTTTGTACTTAATCAAATATGTGATGGGCCTTTGGGTACATCTGGGTTAGCAGTAGTTCTGACCTTAAGCCTTAATTTTTTTCAGTCTCTCTTTTTCTCTGCATTTGTTGAATCATGAACTATGGACTTAGGAAGCAAGGTCTACAGAACTTTGGATTATATTCTTTTGTTACTCTCCAGATAACTAGTTGATGAATTTCTAGTGTACTTTATGTTGGTTAGCCGCTCCTTGGAACGCTTTCTACTGTTCAATTTCAATTAAATTCAGTTTATTTATATAGCGCCAATTCATAACACAAATAATCTCAAGGCACTCTACAGTTCAACCAGATCATACAGTCAAATTGATTCAAAATACAGTCAAATTGATTCAATGTTTACAGAAATAAAAGAAAAAGCAACGCAAATACTTCCTCGGGGTGTTGTTCTTTTGTTGTATTTATTAATTCAAACAGAAAAATAAGAAGTCAGAGGTAAGAATTTATCTTTAAAATAACTTAACATTAAGCAGCTTGTCAAGCTTCTTGAGATCCTTTGCTCTCATGCTCCTACCCCAGCAGATGATGGCAGAAGAGATCAAACTCTCCACAACAGACTAATGGAAGATCGGCAGCATCTTGCTGAAAACACCAAAGGACCTAAGCCTCCTTAAGAAGAACAGTCTGCTTTGTCTCTNACTCTCCACAACAGACTAATGGAAGATCGGCAGCATCTTGCTGAAAACACCGAATAACCTAAGCCTCCTTAAGAAGAACAGTCTGCTTTGTCTCTTCTTGTAGAGTTGCCTCTTTACTTGACTTCTACATACAGACAGGTGGAGGGAGGAGTGAGCAGTTCTATCTTCTGATTTGGTTGAGAACAAGCGCATAGAAGCAGGAAGGTGGAAGATAAACAATAGAGGTATAAGAGGAAATCTTTGGGTACAAGAAGGATAGGATGTCGGTTTGACTGTGGGCAGGATGCTGAGCTTGTTGCTGAATAAATCTATTAAATAATGTGTTTAGTTTTTTTGGCCATTTCCAGAGTCCAATCTGTCTGATCCTCCTTCTTTAATTTTCTTTATCCCTAACCACAAATCTCTAACATTGTTCTTCTGGAGCCTGTTTCTATTTTCTTTCTGTATGTCTCCTTGCTTTCTCTTTTTGACCTTAAGTTGCTTCTTTATACTCATCAATGCTCCCCTTTATCTTTTCCTGAAGGCTCTTTTTTTATTAGCATTTCCTTTAGATAACTAGTAATCCAGGGTTTATTACTTGGCAAGCTAAGAAATATGCAAAGTGACATTAAATGTCTACAAACATTTTATGAAAATAATTAAATATATAAAAACGTTTCAGATTCAAATTTATTATTAAAATATGAAAACTAATTAATTATATTTGTATTAGAATTGCTGAATTCAGAATGACATTTTATTTCGTTTTAACTCATGCGTTTACATATGTAATATATTGTATTTGATCAAATGTTGTTTGTTTTTTCCCGATGATTTAATGAAGACAACAGAAATGTGTAAGTATGTCTTCAACTGCAAGGAACAGGACAAAGGTAGATCTTAAAAAAGGCACGGAATAAAAAACTGCTATCGATACAAGAAGATTCTCAAAAGAAGCTAAGTACAGACTAAGTGTGAAAAAAAGAAATAAGTTACCCAAAAAGATGTTATATGTATAGAATATAATATATAATTATATATCTATAAAAGAGTTATAGGAGGCAATGCAGTTGTAGACTAGTTATCTTTATGCGGGTTGTAGGAGCAGGATGAATGGACTCTAACACTGAACACGGGGGTCCACTTTTCTCCACAGATAAGTCGGATTGAATACATCCACTCTAAGAACTTCATCCACAGAGATGTAAAGCCTGATAACTTCCTTATGGGCCTCGGGAAGAAAGGCAACCTGGTCTACATCATCGACTTTGGTCTGGCAAAGAAATACCGGGACGCCAGAACACACCAGCACATCCCTTACCGCGAGAACAAGAACCTCACTGGGACGGCGCGATACGCCTCTATCAACACTCATCTGGGTATCGGTAAGTAGACAGTTACCAGGGAGGCCTCAGTTCTCACAATGCCCCCTTCTCTTCTTCACTAGTCCCCCTCCTCCCTTTTTGTCCACAGAGCAGTCGAGGCGAGACGACCTGGAGTCTCTGGGTTACGTTCTCATGTACTTCAACCTGGGTTCTCTGCCTTGGCAAGGACTGAAAGCTGCAACCAAGAGGCAGAAGTACGAGCGCATCAGCGAGAAGAAGATGTCCACCCCCATCGAGGCGCTCTGCAAAGGATACCCCTGTGAGTGGGTCACTGGACCAGCAGACCTTGCTGCACAGATTTTCTCTCAGATATGTCTGAGACCCTCATCCTCCCTCCCCTCTCTCCCTTCTAGCTGAATTCTCTACTTACCTGAACTTGTGTCGCTCTCTGCGGTTTGACGATAAGCCTGATTACTCCTATCTGAGGCAGCTCTTCAGGAACCTTTTCCACAGACAGGGCTTTTCCTATGATTACGTCTTTGACTGGAACATGCTGAAGTTTGTGAGTGTTTGCTTTTCTCAGTAATGGAAACCTTATCCGGTTACAATCAGGCATTTAAGCTCCTGCCCAGGGTCCTGTTTCACAGTCCTACCATGAATAGTAAGCAGATACCCGGAGAAGTTCTACCCCGTCTTCCTTACTCAGATTTTCTTGTTTCAGAACAGCTGATACAAGTTGGGTAACCAACCCAGCATCTAATCAACTCTAAAATTTAAATCATGCAGGAGCATTTAAGAAATTCATCTGAACAGAAATAGAAACAAAACCCTCCACCAAATAAACCTGTCTGTATATGCAGCCAGAAATTTGACAATGATTATCGTAAATTGTCTGAAAAGGGGTATGAAGAAGTAAAACTTATTTTTCATACCCCTCTCCCTCTAATTGCACTTTAATTAACTTAAAGTCGAGTAACCTTCCTGTTAAACTTGTTATTTATCCAATATTCACAAAAAATATATATACTAAATGGAAGATTATGAAATAAATAACATTTACATACAGATATATGATTTGGAAATAGATTGCCTGCATCTATCAACACCTATAGCAACTCATTGAAAAAATGGCCATTAGTTAATACAATATAATTTCCCTTTGGGATCAATAGTTTTTTATTTATTTATTGAATTCAATGACGAATAAACATGGCCATAATATTTAGACATAGATTTAACATTTATATTTAGTGTTTGCCAGTGAATTTAAGACTTAAAGCTTTGTTTAAAAAAGTGTGGTAAATGACAGAAATGTGACATTTGGAAATGTTTTTTTTTTGTTAAATTTATCATTCTGCACACAATCATTTTTGTTAGTGCACGGAATATGGGTCAGGTGCAGCATAACAGGCAGCGATTAATGATTTGATTCCCAAAACATTTACTGTGCTGCAGCCATCTTCGCACTGCAGATATTTCCTACTGTACATGTACTGGAAACATAAAAACAAATATATATATTTTTTTGGTGCTTCCTGAAGGTATTAAAACCTCATGTCTTTATTAAAGCAATATTTAAGAAGCCATATTTCCTTAAAAATAGATCAAATATTTAATCATGCTCTAATCACCATCACAGGAGGGTGATAATTGTTTTTTTATAACATTTTGTTATCTTATATTTGGTATCTCAACTGAAAAATAGGAGTTTGTTGTCATGATTTTACCCAGGGACATGCCGTCCTAGCTTTCTGAATCGGAAAAGCCAAGATATGTAGGAATTTACCACAGAACTTACTCTACATTACCAATGATCCTGCTTTGTGAATTGCAGCTTTGGTATAGAACTTAATGATAGCGGTCCAGTCCGGAGGCAAGTTTTTACTACAGATGAAACGTTTTATGAGGAAAGTGGAGCAGCTAGAACAGACACTAAAAGGACTAATTCTGATTTAATGAGTGAAACCTTGCAGATAAGCATGGTTGCCTTTAACCAGCCTTTTTATGTCAAGGTTGCTGTTTGTTTGTTTTTTTTTTTACAAACAAGTTATTTTCTTTGTGTTTCAGGGTTCCAGCAGGACAGCAGAGGATGGAGAGAGAGAGAGGAGGGAGGGGAAAGAAGGAGAGGAACGAGGAGGTGCAGGTCAAAGAGGAGGTGGGGGTCGAGCTTTACCTCCGGGTCCAAACCCCTGCGCTGCCAACAGAGTCAGGAACGAGCCAGAGACCACTCCTTCCAACCAGGCCTCCCGTGGAGCCCAGCCATCAGGTCAGGCTGCTTTTTAGATATGGCACAAGACTATTATAAGACAAGCCTCAGATGAAAACAGTGCGTACTGCTGTGTGCAGGGAACCGCTCCCCTCAGGCAGGCAGAGCAGAGAGGGCTGAACGAGAACGCAAGGTGGCCATGAGGCTTCACCGTGGCGCCCCCGCCAATGTCTCCTCCTCTGACCTCACAGCACGCCTCGACCAGTCTCGTATCACTGCATCACAGGTAAGAGGTTTGAGAGTTTAACTTTCATGCATTCATATTATGATTTCTTTATTATTTAGAATCCGGTGTGCTTGCCTCTAATTCACTATGCACAAAAGGAACAGCATCAGACATTACCAGATAATTGAAAAAGGCACCAATGTCCGGAGGACACATTTAATATATTCAGCAAATGAAATAAATGCAGGACGACACATTAATCACCTAAACAAAACTGATCAACATGGAGTTTCAGCTGCTCTGTTCTCCTGTCTTACATAGGTCAGTGTGCCGTTTGAACATCTGGCAAAGTGACATTCTTCTTGCAGTTTTGCAGGTCAGTAATACCTCTGTGATATTGATCTTCTCTTTATTTAAAAAACAGTAACGCTGCTGAGCCTAGAATCCATGAAGATTAGCCTTCAAATACTTATGCGAGGCCAGATAATAGAAAAAATGAGACAGAGTGAGAATTCTTTTATTTTACTTTTAAAAGTATCTATATGCCTTGAACTGTTTTCCATTATGACGTGTTAGAAACAAACTCAAGGGGATTTTAAAGGAATTTAATAACAGAGAACAAAGAAGAGGATGATTGTGAAATCCAGCAGAAGGTCCGAAACAATCCAAAGGCTCTGGTCCTAAACAGCCCAAAACCTTTCTACTGTAGGCTGAGTCTTTGGTGCTGGAACAAGGCAGGAGGTCTTCCACATCACTGGAACCATCTACTGGGTCAGGCTAAGGTTGAAGAGATGCTGTAGAATCCCACAGAGCTGCTCTGCACAGGCCTTCAGGACTCTGGGCCTGACACCATCTGAACCTGGACTTACTGCAAGGTTAAAACAAGGGTTGACTTGAGTTAGAGAAACGTTTCCAACCTTAAAACCCAACAATTTAGCATAAGTGCATAGCCCAGCTTTTATGGAGGAATCTGTTTGACTCTAAACTGACTGATCATTTCAAGACTGTATTTAACCCTTTGGTTGTGTAACGCATCTCTTATTTTTGTCCTTTATGATTCAGCAACCTAAGGGCATCTAACACCCCCGACTTTTTCAAATAAAATCGAACGAATGAAGACGTGAATGAGTGAAGGAAGAGGATGAAGAGGCAGCACTGCGAACGAAGACCCAGAGCGTCTGTCTGTGTGTCTGCCGGTTTGCCATGTAAGCATGCGCAGTGCCAAAGCCTTGGGAGATGATGGAGAAACCAGTAAAAAGAAGAAGAAGAACCTGCATCCTGGACCTGCTTAAGGCTGCTCTTCAAACTAGTGGTGAGTGAAGGGAGCTGGGTGCAACTTTACAAGGCCTAGGCCCGTCTTCACTCCTATTCACCTTCACATCGATGCAGCAGCTCAATTTGCATAAAAAAAGAAAGAAAATATCAAAGTGCACAAAAAGGACTACATTTACACAGCTGTGGTTTATATGTGTAATCAGTAAAACAGCTATGGGTTTTCTTTTGTTAAAAAGCTAAATCTGCTGCTTCTGGTGTTATTTATTCTGATTAAATCTACAGCCAAACCAGATGTTTACATACTTGGTATAAAAAGACCCACAAGCTTTATTTTCACGGTCGCACATTGAAATAATTTCCTTGATTTAGTTCAGATCAGATGAAAAACTAAATGTGTAAAATGGCAGAGAGAGAGGAAATTATGCTGATGATCTTCATATTCTGAAGTTCCATCTTTTCTTTTTATATTTGCTAAGAATACCTTTTAAACTTCAGGATTTTTTCTATTCATCTTTGTTTTTTCCCCTCTGCGCATCTGCCTTTTTCTTAATTTTTGGTTCATTCCTCCTTATAGCTGTAAATGTGTCCGCTTTGTAGGCTGCCTTACTTACATTCATCCTTTTAGCTGATTTATTTTAGTTTTTTATGCCTTTCCGTTCTTTCTTACATATTTCTACTCCGTTCAAGAGTGTTTCTGACTGTGATTTCAAATGTAACGAAAAGGAAAGACCCTTAACATCTCCTCTCTGCTGGACATGTTCCTTTACCTGCTGCTTCCTACCCTGCTACTCTGACAGCAGGTTCCACGCTCACACTTCCCAGTAAAGTCCCCATCCTTTCTCCCTGGAGAGCTACGGGTGGTAACCTGAGTTCCAAACATCATACATAAGTTTGGTGAAATGCTTGACTTTACTGTCTTTAAACCCCTTTTTAATTCATCTAATAGTTTGCTAAGAGACATTGTCCCTCTGGAAGATCCATCCTTGTCCCAGCTGATGCCTTCAGCAAACACACTTTCCAGAACAGAATGATGCCTTGACTAACTGGCTGTTAATACTTAATCATTAATCAAGCAGATAAACGTGAGAATATTCAGCCATCTGGAAATTGGATCCAAGAACGAACCAGATTAGCTGAGGTCTGCAGTTCTCTTCCTGATTTCCAGGCTAAATTCTATAGATTTTTTCCCTGATCCCACACAAGGAAGCAGAGTGTTTGAAGCATTGCTTTAACATACATCCATGGGTGGCTGAATTTCCCAGAAGTTTAAAAAGCAATATCATTATCCAATTTCCATCCATCCATTTCACCCGCTTATTCCTTTAGGGCCTATCTCCGGCAGTCTATAGGCGAGAGGCGGGGTACACCCTGGAGAGGTCGCCTGTCTGTAGCAGAGCATTATCCAAGTTCCTTCAAACTGAATTCAAGCTTACAAACTTGTTTAAATTTCTCTAAAAAAATTCTCTCATTGTTTTGATATATAGGAACTGAAAAAAAAACCTAATCTTAACTGACATAAAAAAGGAAAAAAAGTTTGGTTTTATTAAATGTCAGAATATGAAATAAAAAAAAAATGTCTACAGAGTATGTAAATATCTGGAGTCAGTCGAATGCCACAACCTTGGAAACTAAATAAAAGTATATTTAGGTCTTTGTAGAAGAGAAGGCTGCAGTGGGAGTCAAAGAGAGAAACAGAGGAACAGAGTGAAAGTCTGCAGTGAAAATGTTGCTGCTTTTTAACAGTCAACATCTTTGTCCGTGTTCTTGTCTCACACTTTTGTTTTTCCTTCAGCTTTACTTTAATGAATCTGAGGAAATGACTGAAAGGATCTGGGGAAAATATGATCTACCCCTTGTTAAATGTTCCCGTCCTGTAACACACCTGTCTTACCTGTGATAAAATGCCGATTCAGTGAGAGAGAAAGCAGATTATACGATTTGACGAAGCCTTGGTGCAGCTTGTAACTCCAGGTATGGGCAGAGGTGGGGAAGTTAAATGACCTTGGAAGCGAGCAAGTCTGCGTGAACAGTAAATGTGTAGATACAGATCATAAGATTGTGACAGATAGCTTATTTTTCTTTGATAAACCTTTGGAGTCTGCACACAGTGTGAGATGATCAGGTGATCCCTCTGGCAGGCAATGACAGAAAGGTTCATGTAAATAAATGCAGAGCACTAATTTAGAAGAACTCATGTTTTGACCAAAGTCTGTCTAGATGAATGAATGAGTGGTTGGATCTCAGAGACTGCAAGGAAATGACTGTTTCCCTGTACAATTCTTTATCTTCGATTTTATGACTATATTGGTGTATATTTTCTGATTCAATAAAAGTATACACACCCTACCCAGAGTCCTGGTCATGCTTTTGCCACAGCTCCAATCAAGTGTATCACAATAAAGTGAAAAGTGAAGAAATGTGTGAATGAATAAAACCCTGTCTTACTTTGATATCCTTAAATAAAAGGGTAATTCAAGAGAACTGTAGAGATCAACATTTTGGATGATTGATTGATTGAAAAAACAATTATTACTATTATTTACACAAAACAAATCTGGTATTTATGGAAGAGTGAAACAAGGGAAACCTTTAGTAGTTGGTTAAAATTAACACAGGGGATGCAGCACATATGTTAAGCTTCAAGAGTACCACAGCCACTGCACACCCTGAACACACCATCCAAACATGGTGGGGAATCCATTATGCTGTGGGGATGGTTTTCTTCAACAAGGAGAGGGGAGATAATCAGAGGAAGTGGAATGGAATATGGATCTAGGTAAATTCCTCCATCGATCCAGAAGAAAATCTCTGCTAGAAGCTAGAAAACCTGAGCTTAGAGTGGAGGTGCAACTTTAGATAGATAATAATACTTATTATTATAATGGCCTAGTTAAAGTCCAGACCTTAAGATGTGAGCTTGAGCTATTAGGGATGTAAAACGAATCCCTTTTCAGAGGCATAGGCCAGTATTGGGTATGGGAGGCTAACAAAGACCTCAACAACTCCCTGTTACTAAGGAGTGGACCTGTTCTTTTGGTTCAGTTTGCTTGTTTTCTAGGCCATAACAAAGCTTTATTGGTCTACTCTATAAAGCTTGGAACTCAAAGCTAATCCAGACATTTTGAAATGAAAGTGCTTCCTAGATGGGAAGCGAAACTTCTTCAAACATGGAAAACAACGTTTTTGGAATGACTATGTCCTGGATGACTGAGAATCTTCACCGACATGTTAGGGGTGTACAAAAATTACATGTACACTGGGAGGCGGTTTTACAAAGTATTGATTGCAGCAGAGAGGACAAATGCAAATGCAAAGCATATTTTTTTCTGATTTTTAATCACAAATTCACAAATCTTTGAGTAAAATTTTAATTTGTACTGAGAAAGTTGTGAGTTTTACTAATAAACCTGCGTTTTTTACTCCTAAATGTATTAATTAGTCTCATATATTTGGGACTTGTGCTCATAAATTTAGATTCTACATGAACTTGTTACCTTTACAGCTACATTTGTGATTTGTACAAGTACATTTGCATACTTGTAACTTTGCAAGTTGTATTCATAACTTCTCAACTTGTATTCCAACTGATGCAGTACGTCTTACATTTATTCACATAACTGACTTTAATTTACAATTTCAGATGTCTATGCATACATTTTTATTAACAATTATCTTTAGAGATTTAAAGATTTCCAGAAGAGGAAAAAATTATTTTGAAAAATCATGGGCGATTCTAGACAGGGGCCAACAGCGGCCAGCTCCCCGAATGGAACTGCTCCTGGCCCCTTAAATGCCCCCCCTATTGAAGACATAATACCAAATCAGTTTTATATGATAATATGTATTTTTATGAAATTGTTGCACCTTTAGGCTGCTCAATGGAAGAGTGGTTAGCACTGCTGCCTTGCAGCAAGAGGTTTCTGGGTTTGATTCCTGGTCTGGGGTCTTTCTGCATGGAGTTTGCATGTTCTCCCTGAGCATGCATGGGTTTTCTCTGGGTACTCCGGCTTCCTCCCACAGTCCAAAACATGACTGTTAGGTTAATTGGCTTCTCTAAATTCTTCTTAGGTATGAATGTGTGCTTGAATGGTTGTTTGTCTCTGTGTTGCCCTGCGATGGACTGGCAACATCTCCAGGGTGACCATGCATCTCGCCTGGAGATAGGCACCAGCAGCCCTCGCAACCCCGCTTGGGATAAGCATTATGGAAAATGGATGGATAGATGTTGCACCTTTAGCTTCAGTTTGGCTCATTTTATATATTAAATGATGAACTATAACCTTGTTGTTTTCTTCTTTTGCTCTTTGCCCTTATGAAAATAAATATACATTGGCCCCAACCTGGCTCCCCTGGTAAAATTTGCCTAGAACCAACCATGGTGCTTTTTCTTTAAAAAAATCTAGCATAAATAATCATGTTACCCATTTGAATTTTACTAACACTCATATCAAGGATTGTATTTCAATAACTGGTTTCAGGAATTTATTTTACAAAATGCTAAAATAATGTAAAAAACTTACTACTGACTTCAAGTCTAAAGTGAACACTGTAAAGTGAAATAACTGGTAACACTGTGTAAAGAGTAAAAAATACATGCAAACGGTTGTATATTAAAGTTTGGATGGAGAAAACAGACCGGAAAGAAAAATCAGTGGGAACCATCAACATCTGCGATTCCCAGAATAAAACTGCGCAAACTCACTGCGCTTTGGACGTAAGCCCCGCCCTCACCCGCGGTGCTCCTCGTTTTATTGGCTGAGAGCCTCTGATCCTGCTCCAATGGGCGGAGCCTCTGTGATGTGGCGTTAATCCGACAGAGATTGGTTTTACAGCGGAGCCGTTATTGAGAAAGAGGAGGGCGAACCGAACCAAAACTCCTCAAACACCGAGTGTAAGCTTCAGAAATGAACTAAATAGATCGATGAAAACAGAGTTAAAGAGCTGCGGAACATGCGAGCTGAACTTTTTAGAGGAGAAGTTAGTTTTGTTTGTTTAGCCGGAGGCGCTGAGAGTTGACGGGTCGGAGCCAACATGGATGTCCTGGGAGCAGCGGGGCTCCACTGAGGAAGACTTCAGGCTCTTTCTGAGCTCCTGGTGCCAAAGAGTGTTTCTGTTACCGCCGGGGAAGCATCTGGAGCAGGTTCACCAGGTTAGTCTGGACTCTATAAAACTATCACCTCCTCCCAAACACAAAGTCTTTATTATTTTTGTCAGCATCATTTTTATAACATGGTTATTGAATAAAAAAAAAATTATTATTACTTTAAGTTCATAAAAACAATGGAAGTTATTCAACTTCTAATTTGATTGATCTGTTTGAATATTTCTGCAATCAAAGATTTTTAGAATAGAATAGAATAGAACAGAAAATCCCTTTATTGTCCCACCATGTGGAAATTCTGGTGTTTACAGCAGCAAAAAGATGATATTAAAAAAAACCCCATCAGTTTCATTATCAATAGCAGAATTATCAATTTATTTGTCTGATATAAAATAAAACAAATAAGAGGTGTGAAAATGAATGATTTGTTTTATTACATGAGGATAATCCAGTCTTAGTGTTACCAATGTTATTACCCATTGTGTTGGGAATTACAAACACTTTGTCTGCTTTCCATCTGCTGCTTTATTTCTCTCTCCCTGCCTCTAATATATTATTCCACTGTGTAACTGTGTGTGTGTCTGTTTGCGACCATGCTCCAGTTGACCTTTCTCCCCTTCCAAATGAACCCCCCCAGCTGTCCTTTCTCCTCACTGCAGCCCTATTGTGATCCTGGCTGCTTCCGATGCCTCCACATCTTCTGGTTACTAGAGAGGAGTCGATCAGTTACCAGATAATCAAATAGGCTGATTCTGTCTTAAAGTCATAGGGAAGTCATATTTAAATGTCAAATTATTCTGCCTTAAAAG